GGTTTGTTCTCAACAACTCCGATCTGAATGCTAAATGCCAACTATTCTATAAATCAGTCTGAAACCAGGTTGCAACTGCTTTCCCTTAAAAAGAACATCAACTCACCATCTGGATGAACCGTGGGTCACCAGCAGGATCAGAGACCTTATCCTGGCAAGACAAAAAGCCTAAAAAGCAAGAAACATTGATGCAACAAAGTGCTTATCAAAAAAGTAAGACGAGAGATCAAATCGGCTAAGAAAAATTGTCATAAAATAATTAACAAAATAAGAGAAGCAAACCCTAAATGGTATAGCACATTAGGAAGATAAATAGTGATAGAAGTGACAGTTACCTCACTCAAATCAGCGAAATTCCAAACTTCCCAGAGAGCATTGCTAACATCAACAAACTACTCCCTCCTCGAAAAAAAAAAAAAAAAAAAAGAACAGCTGACTTACCCTCACGCCCTCTTGAAGCAATGGTAATCAAATATGGTGTATCAACATTTAAAAAGGATGGAAAAAGTCCCAGAAATTGAGGATTTCTGGCTCTTGGTACCAGACCCACATCGCTGGACATGGTACAGTGATGCGGGTAATGCAGCCAAGGAGATCGACCACATACTCGTTAGCACTCGTTGGAGGATCCTTCAGAATTGCAGGGTGTACAGGAGTGCTGAGTTCTGTGGTACTGACCATAGATTGGTTGTGGCTACCCTCCGGGTCCACTTCAAAACTCCCCAGCAGTCAAATGACCACCCTAGGGTGTTTCATTTGGACAGGCTGAGGGAGGGGGAGTGTGCCCGCGGGTTTGCCGAGGCAATCTCTGATCGTTTCACAATGCTTGACAGTCTGACAGACCCTGTTCTTCTGTGGGATACCTTTAAACGTGAAACGCTTGATGCAGCTCAAGATACGATTGGTGTACGCCCGAGAGCAGTACAGAATTCCATCTCGCAGGAGACACTGGAAGCCACAGATGCATGTTATGCGGCTCATCTGACAGGGGATTGGGAATTGCACCGTTCTCTTGCGCGCAGAACTCGGTCCCTGTTAAGAAGGGACAAGGAAGTTTATTAGGAGTCTTGCAGAGGAGGTCATTCTTAGTAAATGACCTTCGTCCTGCATACCAAGCCCTAAGAAAGCTGAACTCCAAGCCCTCTTCACAAGTGACAGCAGTTCGCTCAGTAAGTGGTCTGATCATTTCAGATCCTGTTGCGGTGCGGGAACGTTGGGCTGAGTATTTTGAGCAGCTGTACCAGGTTGACCCACCAACAGTTAACTTGGATGCGGGTAGTGTCGAGATCCCGCTGCCGGATCCACCCATCAGTGAGGATCCTCCCTCCCTAACTGAAGTTAGGGGGGCGATTTCCAAGCTAAAGAGTGGTAAAACAGCAGGTATCTGCAGCATACCAGCTGAACTGTTAAAGGCTGGTGGTGAACCTATGGCTCGGGCGTTACATGCTGTCCTGGCTGCCATCTGGCGGTCCGGTACCGTTCCTCCTGACCTGTTGAGGGGTGTGGTCATCTTCTCTGGAAGGGGAAGGGGGACCGTTGGGACTGCAGCAATCACCGAGGCATCACACTGCTCAGTATACCAGGCAAGGTTCTCGCCCACATCCTTCTGAGACGTATCAGAGACCATCTACTGAGGCACCAGAGACTGGAGCAATCCGGATTCACTCCTGGTAAGTCCACAATAGACCGTATCCTCGCGCTTCGAGTCATTGTAGAGCGCCGTCGTGAGTTCAGGCGTGGGCTGCTTGCAGCCTACATCGACCTCAAGAAGGCATTCGATACGGTGCATCAGGAGACACTTTGAGAGATCCTGAGAGGAATTCCAACAAGGATTATTGGACTAATAGCAAGCGTGTATACTGGTACTGAAAGTGCTGTAAAGTGTGGTGGGGGGCCTGTCGAGCTTCTTTCCTGTTAGTTCAGAAGTGAGGCAAGGCTGTGTCCTTGCGCCAACTCTTTTCAACACTTGCATGGACTGGATACTGGGCAGAGCTACTGTTCAAAGTCATTGTGGAGCAACACTGGGCAATATCAAGGTTACAGACCTTGACTTTGTTGATGACGTTGCCATTCTGTCTTTGGAAACGCTAGTGGCGGCTCTCGATGCATTTAGCAATGAAGCGAAACCCTTGGGTCTAGAGGTCTCCTGGACCAAGCCCAAGGTCCAGGAATTTGGGGACTTGTTAAGAGAACCTGTTCAGTCGGTACGTGCTTGCGGCGAGGACATTGAAGTCACAGAGAGCTTTACATACCTTGGTAGTGTAGTTCATAACTCTGGGCTGTCAGACCATGAAGTCAGCAGACGGATTCGCCTGGCAGCAGGGGTCATGAACTCTCTCAACAAGAGTATTTGGAGATGTCGGTACCTGTGCAGAAGGCCCTGATAATACCAGTTTTGCTATACAGTAGCGAAACCTGGACATTGTCCTGTGCCTTGGAGGCTCGTCTTGAAGCCTTTTGTAATAGGTCCTTGCGCCGGATCATGGGGTACTGTTGGCGGGACCATGTGTCCAACCAACGGTTGCACTGTGAGACTGGCACAGGACCTGTTATCTGCACAATCCGTGATCGCCAACTCAGGCTATGCGGCCACCTGGCTCGCTTTCCTCAGGATGATCCTGCCCATCAGGTCGTCTCTGTTCGAGACAACACTGGGTGGAGGAGGCCTGTGGGACGACCTAGGAAGTCGTGGCTTGGGCAGATCGACCAAACCTGCCGTGAAGAAATAGAGATGGGCCGAGTCCCTGCCTGGCGTCTAGCCATGAGGGATCCTCGTAGGTGGAAGCGAAGGGTGGATGCGGCTATGCGCCCCCGTCGGCGTCAGCCCCCTTGATGATGATGATGATGAAAAAGTAAATCTGGCCCTGATGACATCCCGCCAAGATTCCTGCGAGATTTCGATACCGAGCTCGCCACTCCCCTATGCGACAATGTAGATAGCCCTATCACTAAGGCCCTGGTACCAGACCTATGGAAGCGTGCTACCACAGTCCCAGTTCCCAAAACAAATCCACCAGTCTCTCGATGGCCTTAGGCCTATATTTTTAACCCTGATTCCATACAAAATCCTCGACAGAATAATTGCTAAGGAATTATGGAAGGCTTTTATTTTCAAATTAGATAATCGCCAATTCGGAAACACCAAAGGAAGCTCCGCTGTCCACTATCTAGCTGATAAATTACATCACTTCAAACGTAGACAAGCGACAGGAGATGACCACCGCCACCATCGACGTAAAGCATTTGATCCCATCGATTAAGAAAATGATTTCCCTGGGATTTCGCGAGGGCTGGGGAATGGATATCCTCCTTCATCAACCTCAACTCCCAGAGGACTCGTGTAAACAACAAAACATCCGATGAGATTAACCTTCACTGTAGTGTCCCTTCAAGGAACAGTCCTCGGCCCATTTTTGTTTCTAATAATGGTAAATGAGGATAATATTCCACACGCGAAGATCTACAAGTATGTGGACGACATGTCACACACTCGCACACAAACCAGGGCAGGACAACATCTCGTTACCAGATATCCTCAACCAAGTGTGAGAGCGGGCATCGTCAAACAAAAGGTGCACATGAACGAAATTTAAATTTAACAAATAGGCCGATTGTGATAGTATTCTGACAATAGGTGATGAGCTTTTAACACATGTCACAGAGGTGAATCTGTTAGGAGTAGTGATCAGTGACAAACTAAAGTGGTTCGGCAATGCCAAGAAATTGTTCTCAGATTGCGGAATAATGTTTTTCAAGATAACTAAATTAAACTCCTTCGATGCAATCCAAGAAGACATCCACATATGGACGACTTTCATTCGACCAATTTGTGAATATGCAGCACTAGTCTGGCATTCGTCCATCTCCAACTTTGAAAAAATAAAATTGGAAAGACTTCAAACTGAGCATTGATATATATATATATATATATATATATATATATATATATATATATATATATATATATATATATGCATGTATGTATAAACAAATAAATATACATACATACATACATACACACACACACGTATACATACATATATATATGTAAACACACACACACATATGTATATACTTATAAATTCATACATCCATACACATCTGTGTGCGTTTGTATATATATATATATATATATATATATATATATATATATTATATATATATAATGTATATGTATATCTATAATGTATATATATATCTAAATATATATATATATATATATATATATATATATATATATATATATATATATATATATATATATATGTGTGTGTATATACATACATATGCATATTATATATATTATATAATATATATATATATATATATATATATATATATATTATATTATATATATATATATATATATATATATATATATATATATATATATAGATATTAGTAATATACTAACTATCAGGGTTTTCTGTACGCGCCATAATAGTTAATCCCCAATTAAGGTTTAATATAGAGGAGATTCTTTATAGTATTTATTTTATTTATTTATTCATTCATTTTTTTTTTTTCAGCCGCACTGCATGAAAAGTTACATGCGTTTAGGAATGACATCTTAGGGATGGGATGCTCACTGCCAAAAGCAACCGATTTGTACTAGGTGATCCAAACCCGGATCCGGAATCTGGATGGAACAGCTGTAAAACTCCCGAGTCCTGAGGCGCTTGCTCTAAGGTCTAATAAATCCTTGGACTCGATGCCTGGGAGGATATTTTTAACCAGAGATTTTGTTCCAAGTTTGCCGGTGATAATGTGTCTCTTGAATTATTATCTATTATATCTATATTTCTTATTGTAGTTAAAAAACAACAACAAATCATTCCATTCAAATGAGATCTTAAGAAATTGGCACATGTACAACAGTACTAAGCAATTATATAATATATATATATATATATATATATATATATATATATATATATATATATATACATCAATGTAAAGTTAACCTAAACCTATTCTGCATGACAATGTGTTTTTTTTCCAATGGCGACACAACTACAATAATCATAAAACTAAAAGTAACAAAAAAATCGAAATGCCATTGATATTAATCATGTTACATAGAGACGTCGTGGTTACATCTGAGAAAAATCTACTGCAGAAAATCCTGAAATACTAACAGGAGGCCACATCCAGTAGGTTATCACTCTCTGATGCTGATGACAATATCTTGTTCTTTAGCCAGGCGTGCAGATGGTTGCTTGGGGCTGGCTTCAAGGTCGACCTCGACGCCCGCTGGAGGAGAGAAAGTGAAGTTCTGCAGAAGGGCTGCCGAGAAGATGTACAGTTCCATCCTTGACAGAGCCTCTCCAAGACAGCTCCTGCGTCCTGCGAGGGAAAATTTCTAATTACTATCGCCAATAGTTTTTCTGTTAATGGCATCACGATTATGATCGCCACGGGGTATGAGCTTGACTCTAATGACGACGCTGGAGTACCCGGCTTACCTGTACCAAAGGGAATGAATCCCTCCTTCGGCGTTTTGACTCTTCCTTCTTGGTCGAGGAACCGCTCGGGTCGGAACTCCTGCGGTTGGTCCCAGTAGCGCGAGTCCGAGTGGCACATTCCCGAGCACCCGAACACCCACGACCCCTGCGGCACAGTGCATTTCGAAAAGGATTTATGACATGGCGATTTGTAGTATTTTTTAAACAGTTTAAGCCCCAGTACCACAACCAATTCTACAACGACAAGAACATGGGGTACAGGTAGGCTGGGCCTCCTGCCTTCAACAACCACTACGAGGTATACCATTTAGGGAAGAACCACGGGCAAAGAGAGTGAAGCAGGGACTTGCCTTCGGGATGAGGTAGCCTGCCAGGTAAGTGTCAGTCTGAGCTGCACGTTGGACTCCATTGTGAATCATGGACGACGCGCGGAGAACCTCCTGGATCATCGCTTCGAGTAATGGCAGCCTGGAATGGGGACATCGCCACATCAGTCAAGTCCTAAACATGATTTCAGGCACTGACTCAGCAAAGAGTTCGCTGGGAAGACAAAGTTGAACTTACCGACTCTTGTGCTGGTAGGAGGGCAAGGTGTCGCGCGGAACAACCTCGTCGATCTGCTGCTGGATGGCGCGCTGCACTTCGGGGAACCTGGCCATGTAGAGGAAGACCCAGCGAAGGGTGTTGGCCGTGGTGTCGAAGCCCGCGGCGAACAGATCGAAGATGATCCTCATCAGATCCAGCTCTGCCAGGAACACATTTGGCCTTCCCTTATCAAATTCTTTGCTGAATTAAATTAGTGTCTTTCTTGGATTGCTTGACCTATTTCTCATGGCAGAAATACCTGCTGCTTGTACATGTTTAAGCAGCAGCTACGGAAGTGGAAGATACATGTGATAGACAAGAGTTATAATTGCAATAAATATTTTACAATTATAAGATACCGTGCAGAAATAGAAAACGAAAACTCACCACTGAAATACTCAGCAATTTCGTTTTTTTCGTCCATGGCTATTAAGTATTCATCGATGACGTCACGCGGGTTGGCCGGGTTGAGCGTGGCTCTGTGAGAATCTATCGTGTCCTGAGGGAAGTTAGTCATGGGGGTTCCAGTAACTTTACGGAAAATTATCACATTCATATGCAAACGTATATACATGTTTTATTGGTACTGACCACAGATTACTTCTGGTTACCCTTCAGGTCCACTTCAAAACTCCCCAGCAGTCCAATGACCGCCCTAAGGTGTTTCATTTAGACAGGCTGGTGGAGGGGGAGTGTGCCTGGGGTTTTGCTGAGGCAATTTCTGTTCGCTTCATAGCACTCGAAAATCTGACTGACTGTACTTAAGTGGAACATCTTCAAGCGTGAAAAGCTTGATGCAGATCAAGAATCGATCAGTGAACGCCTAGGAGCAAGACAGTATTTTATCTCGCAGGAGACACTGGAAGCTACAGATGCTTGTCATGTGGCTTGTCTGATGGGATTGGGATTTGCACTGTTCTCAGGTGCGCAGAACTTGGTCACTGTTGAGAAGGGACAAGGAACAGTTTATTAGGAGTCTTGCAGTGAAGGTCGAAGGCCATTTCTTAGTAAATGACCTTCATTCTGCCTACCAAGCCCTGAGAAAGTTGAAGTTCAAACCCTCTTCACAGGTGACCGCAGTTTACTCAGCAAGTGGCCAGGTCATTTCAGTTCCTGTTGCAGTGCGGGAGTGTTGGGCTGAGTATTCTGAGCGGTTGACTAGGTTGATCCACCTACAATTAACTTGGTAAAGCAGCAGGTATCTGTGGCATTCCAGCTGAACTGTTAAAGGCTGGTAGTGGACCTATGACGCGCGGCTTGCATGCTGTGCTGGCTGCCATCTAGCAGTCCGGTAACGTTCCTCCTGACCTGCTGAGGGGTGTGGTCAACCCTCTCTGGAAGAGGAAGGGGGATCGATGGGACTGCAACAATCACCAAGGCATCTGCTCAGCATACCAGGCAAGGTTCTCGCCCACATTATTCCACGATGTATCAGAGGCCACCTGCTGAGGCACCAGAGACTGTAGCAATCGATTCACTCCTAGTAACTCACAAATAGACCGTATCCTGCCGCTTCAAGTTATTGTAGAATGCCGCCGTGAGTTTAAGTATAAGCTGCTTGCAGCCTACAACGATCTCAAGAAAGCGTTTGATAAGCTGCATCAGGTCACTGAGATTGAGAAGAATTTCAAGAAGGATTATTGGACTAATAGGAAGCCTGTATACTAGACCTGAAAGTGCTGTAAAGTGTGGTGGGGGCCTGTCAAGCTTCTTTCCTGTTAGTTCAGGAGTGAGGCAAGGCTGTGCACTTTTCAACACTTGCATGGACTGGATACTGGGCAGAGCTACTGTCCGAATATATTGTGGAGCAACTCTAGGCAATATCAAGATTACCGACCTAGACCTTGCTGATGATGTTGCTATTCTGAGTCTTTGGAAACCATAGTGGCGATTCAGGATGCATTTAGCAATGAAGAGAAGCCCTTGGTTCTATAGGTCTCCTGACCAAGATCCAGGACTTCGGAGACCTGCTAGGAGAACCTGTTCAGTCGGTACGTGCTTGCGGCAAGGTCATTGAAGTCACAGGGAGATTTACACTGGTAGTGTAGTTCATAACTCAGGGCTGTCAGATCAGGAAGTCAGCAGACGGACTGGTACGGCAGCAGGAGTCATGAACTCTTAACAAGAGTATTTGGAGATGCCAGGACCTCTGCAGAAGGAACAAGCTACACCTTTTCAGGGCAATGATAATGCTAGTTTTACTTTACGGTTGTGAAACATGGACTTTAACCTGCGTCTTGGAATCTCGTCTTGATGCCTTTTGCAATAGGTCCTTGTGCCGGATCATGGGCTCCTGTTTGCGGGACCACGTTTCCAACCAACAGTTGCACCATGAGACTGGCACAGGACCTGTTACCTGCACAATCCGTGATCGCCTACTCAAAGCTATATGGCCACCTGGCTCATTTCCCACAGGATGATCATGCCCACCAGGTTTTCTCTGTACGCGACAGCCCTAGGTGGAGGAGGCCTGTGGATTGACTTAGGAAGTCATGGCTTGGGTAGATCGATCAAACCTGTCATTAGGACATCGAAATGGGCGGAGTACCAACCTGGCAGCTTGCCATGGGGGATCCTAGTAGGTGGAAGCAAACGCCCCTGTCGGCATTAGCCCCCATATATAATAATATATATATATATATATATATATATATATATATATATATATATATATATATATATATATAGAGAGAGAGAGAGAGAGAGAGAGAGAGAGAGAGAGAGAGATTATACAGGGAATCATAAAAAAATATCCCGAAATAAGTACCTACCTGGCAGCTTGCCATGAGGGATCCTAGTAGGTGGAAGCAAACGCCACTGTCGGCATTAGCTCCCCGATAATATAATATATATAATATATATATATATATATATATATAATATATATATATATAGAGAGAGAGAGAGAGAGAGAGATAATACAGGGAATGATAAAAAAAACATCCCGAAATAAAGGCCATGACGTGAACTATTTCATCCCGCTCCTTTCTTTCATTTTTACCTTCAGTAAATCTACGATGCTGTCCTTAAGTTTCTTCATCTGCCCTGCAAAGAACTTCTCCTTTAAGAATCCTGGAAGAAGTTTCTTTACACTGGGAAAAAATTCGATGAGCGTGGCCAAGGAGGACGAGTCGATGGACCTCAAGATGGCGATGGGTTCGAGCACCTTCTTGTCGTGGAAGTCGTAGCGCTTATCTAAGTAGGAGAGCAATAATAACGATACCAGTGCTGCTCTGTTGATGCTGCAACTGCTCCTACCTATGCTACTTCTGCTACGACTAAGGCTACTGTACCTCTGCTAAAAATAGTATTGATAATGAGGATAATATAAGGAAAAATAACATGTGTCCAATTATATATCGTGGATATTTTCTACTTTTCTGATATTGTGTCCGAGAAGCTAAATGACCGGAAACGCACTTGCGACTAACTGCCAGATGATGTTCAAGACGGCAACGTTGAGCGACTCAGGCACATGGCAAGGCGTTCCTGCGTGGCTACTGAAGTCCTTGACCAGCGCCCTGGCCTCCTCCAGGATGCTCTCCTCCAGGTAGGTCTTCCCCATGCCCAGATCACGGAGGTTGCGCAGCAGGAACCTCCGCGCGTTCTGCCATCGTTGGCCGTTGCTCATTATGACACCTGCCCAAGACAAAGGAAATCTAAATCCAAATTTCCCCATGACCTGATTAGTTTGTGTGCACCGTTGATATACAACCGCACTGTGTGGAGCAGTGGTGGCGTCCTCGTCCCGCACCGTCAGTGGATGATAAGCCCGGCCATTCCTTGCACACAGGAGGTAATTTAGAAGCACAATAAACAGACACAAGTCACAAGAGCCTAAATATTATCATTACAATAGTACGTACATACATATATACACTTATATATACATATATACATACATGTGTACACATTTTTTACACTTATATATACATACATACGTACTATACATATATATATATATATATATATATATATATATATAATATGTGTGTGTGTGTGTGTGTGTGTGTGTGTGTGTGTGTGTGTGTGTGTGTGTGTGTGTGTGTGTGTGTGTGTGTGTGGTGTGTGTGTGTGTGTGTGTGTGTGTGTGTGTGTGTGTGGTGTGTGTGTGTGTGTGTGCACATATGCAATTCATTTATTTATTCATTTATATATAAATATGATTTTACGCTTGCAAACATCAATGTATGCCAGGAGAGCAAAATCCCTACGACAAGACATGACATAAACTTGATGTGCGGTGCCCACCTGCCTCTTGGCCGTCCGTGAGAAAGTGCGCCACTTCAAGGCGTGGTCGGTCAGCGAAGTCCACCTTCGCCAAGGCTTCTTTGATGAGTTTGTTACTGCACAAGAATATCAGCTTATGTGACCCTATTTCAGATCTGCAAATTGATTTTCTTTCCGTTAATGTTGAGAGAGAGAGAGAGAGAGAGAGAGAGAGAGAGAGAGAGAGAGAGAGAGAGAGAGAGAGAGATGAGAAGAGAGAGAGAGAGAGAGAGAGAGAGAGAGAGAGAGAGAGAGAGAGAGAGAGAGAGAGAGAGAAGGAATAAAAATGAATACTGAAGAATACAATAATGCTAGGCCTCTTCTCTTAGAAATTACTGGAAACTCAAGACGAAGTATTGTGACTGAACCTTGAAAAATAACGTAAAGGTAACGCCTACAGCAAAAGGAACATGCAATTAAACATATCAATAAGAAATGATTCGTCTCCTATAGGAAAGTGACAAGCAAGGGCTAAGTATCAAAAGGAGGAGGAAAATAACACGCTCGCAATAGTCAGGATGAACGAGGAATGAACAAGCTCTGAAGCAAACGAGAAATGTAGGGAGAATATTGTCTTACTTGAATATATCGCCGTAAATCTTGTGCATCGCCTGCACTTGGCTGACGGTGAAGACGAGCCTGGAGCCAAGATATGGTATGACCAAAGGACCTGGAAGAGCAATATGTATAACTGCCGTGGAAAAGATGTTACTAATAGGTTGACATCTTAATACAAAAATAAAGAAAGAAGAAAAGAAAAACAAACAGAAAATAAAAAGAAATAGAAAATGGGAAAAAGAAAATGAGAAAAATAAAAATAAAAGAAAAAATGGGAAAAGGAAAATGAGAAAAAGAAAAATAAAAGAAAAAAATGAAAATGAAAAGAAAAAACTAGAAAAAAGAAAAAGAAAAGAAAAAACTAAACTGCACGAAGCAGCCTTACCCGGTGGCATTCCCCGAGGCCTGGACATCCAGTAGTGAAGCAGAAACACTGCCACCGCGAACAGCAGGATCTCTACAATCATTGTGGCGATCTGCAACGCCTGCAATCGAACAAGGGAAGGGTAATCTGTGACTAAATGTAATTTATTTTACAAATACGTGTTTGTTATACATATATTAAAAAATGCTATACCTTCGAAGCGTGTACATGGTTCGTTTTCTTCGTTTCATTTCTTTTTAGAAGGGATCGGAAGGAGTCAGTCATCGCAATTCACAAAGATAAATCAAAATATATATCTAATAGTATAACATATTATTCACATATGAAAAGAAAATGTTCCTTTGTGTACATCATAACATATATATGAAAATAAGACATCCAGGCTTTTCTTGGGTAGTTTTCTTGCCGTGAAATTAGTGCGAGGAGGAGCCGATTGGGGGAGCAGCAAGTGTGGCTAATTTCCGCTCCTTCGCCAGACGATTACCAAAGTCAAGAAAAAGGTTGTGTCATAAAATCTGATATAAGAATAGAGTTAGATTTCTACAAACCCACTTACTTTACATAAAGTAAATAGGCCTTTTTAAATAAATTACTTACGAGCAGGTGTACAGTGGTCACACGAGCAAGAGTTGGGGCAGAGTGGGCGAAGGATTGGAGTAGCCTACCCCCGCGCATGCGCAGAAACAAGGTAAGGCATTACAATGCAATAATGAAATCATGATATTCAGATGATAATGATTAAATATGTTGTTCATATTAACGAAATCCTTTACAAAGTTCATATTAAGAAAGAAATTAACTATAGTCTTAAAAAACTGAACAAAACAAAACAAAAATTCTTGCACATATAATAATAAAAATAGGTGTTACGTCAATAATGTATAAAACGAAGTATAACAATTTACTTTAGTGTCTCCCAGTCTTCCGTTTTTCTTCCTATTCCATATATATATATATATATATATATATATATATATATACAATTCATATATTAAGTATATACATAAAAACGAGCGCGATTAGGGTGCGAAGGGGTTGGACAATTTAGGAATTCAGAAAAATACCTTGTCCAGGTGTTTATGAGCTGATTACTGAAATGACAAAGAAACAAACCATAACCAAATTGTTACAGGCAATGCAGAGTAGGAGTCACATCATAAGATAAACAAATGAATACACAAAAACATGGCATACAGCTATGTATGTGTATAGCGACATTCACTTGGACGTTTCTACCACAAAATTTATAACCCTGTGGACTGTCACGAATAGCCTGTATACTATAATAGTCAAGGCTCATTTATACATTCATATTGCGTGAGACAAGTGCTGTGATATTTACTCGGATGGCTTCAAGTTTAAGTAATTTATTCTTTTATGACACTGAAGATGGCCACATAATAAATGGATACGCAATTATTCCGATATCAGGATCTACATTTGTTCAATAAAAAAAATAAAAAAAAAATGCATATACTGAAACCGATATATAAACGTGTATTGATTTTTTTAAGCGTTCAGTAATACTTTCAACTGTTAAAAAAAAATCTACACATATCACCCATGACAGTTTGCTACTGCATTTGATGTTTTGCATAAATACGATTACACTCTGACTTCCCTCAGTGACCTTGAGGGGTATAGAAAATGGGATATAACAGTTTCAAGGGTTCACTCAACTAAACTTCACAGACTTGCTCCCTCACAAGTTAACAGATATGACATGTGTCTGGCCATTATAATATATATATATATATACATATATATACATATATATCGTTTCCACACAATGATTTCAAAGACCTGCCAAAACTTTCTAGACAACAGTACTCGTGACATACTATCAATCACGTATTTGTATACTGATTATTATTTTGTTGTATTACGTCTTTGCTGACATTATCTGCTGTGGGCGTGGAATATATGTACGAGTACATAATCATGCAGAACCATGGTGACTTGGCAAAGATGACTATGAAAATACTGTAGATAATAGTGATTAATGTTAATTTGTAAATGTTTTCCGTACTTGGTTGACTGTCAAGGAGAGCAAATAAGTGATTTGACATTCTCTACTTCGTGGTGGTCATATCATGATGAGACGTGTATGTGTGTGTGTGCACGTATATATGTGCGTGTCTATCTATAAATAATATGTGTGTGTGTGTGTGTGTGTGCGCGCGCGTGTGTGTGCGTGTAAGTGCGCACGCGCGACTGAGTGAGTGTGCGTGTGTGGTGTGGTGTGTGTGTGTGTGTGTGTGTGTGTGTGTGTGTGTGTGTGTGTGTGTGTGTGTGTGTGTGTGTGTGTGTGTGTGTGTGTGTTTGTGTGTATGTGTGTGTGTACACGTATATATGTGTGCATTTATCTCTAAATAATATGTGTGTGTGCGCACGCGCGAGTGAGTGAGTGAGCGTGCGTGCGTGCGTGCGTGCGTGTGCGTTCTTCCTCGCATTCTGTTTCCAACCTCGTTTTTTTCTCTTCATTCTATATCCATTTCTCTCTTTCAGTCATTTCTAAACTATAGATATAGATAAAATAGGTATCCTTGCGGGAAGATTGAATCATGCATTTTAGAATTAGGCACAACCCCGATAAGATAAGCAGACGATAAAGCGATTGCATCATTCTGAAATACCGACAATGACAATTTTTCTGAACGAAGTTTAGTAGTCATTTACTTGTGAGGAGGAAATATCTAACCGTCATAATTAGCATAATAGTGTCTGCAGTGTTCGTTAAAAAGAAAACGTTTGGACATACTTTCTTGTGATAATCTAATGAGAAACTCCGTTGGGTTTAAATTTTCAATGCTGTCCGTCAACAGTTTTTATAGCCTCATGTGTAGCTATGAAGATAAGACTTCAGTGACATTTTAATGGTTATTTTTTGCAAAACATTTAAGAAAAGATTCGCACAAGGGGGGTGGGATCTTGTACACAGATACATGCACTCGGTTGAAATGCTCACCATGCAAAATCTGTATGCGTCAAAATGTATCGGAAAAGTATTTAAAGACTTGCACACAATGCAATCTTTAACCCATTCCCTGATACGTGCATTGTGTGCGTCTTTAAATACCTTTCCGATACATTTTGACGCATACAGATTTTGCAAGGTGAGCATTTCAATCGAGTGTATGTATCTGTGTACGTGATCCCACCCTCCTTGTGCGAATCTTTTCTTAATACAGTAGGGTTAATGGAGGTATGCTTCTCATCGCTATCACATGCTGCAGAGTATATACCAGTTGATACCAGATGGTGCTAGTGTTCTTTCTCGACCAATTAGTTAATTCCCAATAAAAGTCTACGATGTTCACTGGCCAATCATGA